GCACGCACACATACACACACACACACACACGCACGCACGCACGCACGCACACACACACACACACACACACACATACACACACACACACACACACACACACACACACACACACACACACACACACACACACACACATATATATATATATATATATATATATATATATATATTTATATATATATATATATATACACATCAAATCTCTAATCTATACACATCAAACCACACACACAAAACGCGGTCGGTTCCTGTAGGCTACGTGCAGTCGTAAACTTTTCGTTGACAGTTTATCAAACAAAGATTATTTTTCTTCTTATATAAATAAATAAAATACAGTGATTATACACACATACATTCAGGTCATTAAATCATATGGTAATTACACTGACAGGCAGGGGGAAGGGATCCGCCCACCGTTACGAAACACAGACACAGACACGCCTCCCCTTCACGCCCACAACTCCACGCCCACGCAGACGCCGCCCGGAAGAAAGTGAGGGGCGCGACGGCATCATCAGGTTCCCCTCAGCATGCCGGGCAGAAGCAGCAGAAGGGGAAGGAGGAGGCTCGACGATCCGGCTCCTGAAGGGGAGGAGGGGGGTGGAGAGGATTTTCATTGTGCTTAATTTTTTACATATCATTATTGTTATTCCTGTTATTGTTATTATTATTGTTATTATTGTTATTATTGTTATTATTATCATTATTATTATTATCATTATTATTATTATCATTATTATTATTATTATTATTATTGTTACTGTTGATGTTTTTATTATTATTATTACTATTGTTATTATCATTAATATTCTTTTCGTTGCTATTGCTACTATTATTGCTATTGTTATTGTCGTATTATTATTTTTGTTATTATTATCATTATTGCTATTATTACTATTACTATTATTATTATTACTACTATAATTACTCTTATTATCATTATCATCATCATCATTGTTATCATTATAGTTATTATATCTTTGTAAGTATAATATTTATTAAACATCATCAAATACCGAGCGAGCTTGCCTGATCGCTAAAAATGAAGATTTTTTCGGGATATATGTATGTATATATATATATATATATATATATATATATATATATATATATATATATATATATGTATATATATATATGTGTGTGTGTGTGTGTGTGTGTGTGTGTGTGTGTGTGTGTGTGTGTGTGTGTGTGTGTGTGTGTGTGTGTGTGTGTGTTTTTTTTTATGAGTTCTATCCACATTTTTTCCCCTTTTAAGGTCAATTTAGTCTCGCCCTAGTATTTTTCTTTCAAAGTTCCTTCTTCCCCTAGTCGAGAAAAGTCTAGTGTAAGTAATATCTCCCGGAGCCCCAATTTCCCCCCAACTTTTAGGGAAAAAAAGAGGCAAAGAAGATAAAGAAAAAAAAAACAAAAAAAAAACATGATTTCAAAAGATTTTTTTTTTCTTATTATATAAACATTATTACAAGAATTCCCACGTCCTTTATCTCAAGCAAATATAATCCTCAGCTCCTTCGAATTTAACTTTCCAGTCAATTAAGGAACGCTATGCCTCCATCTCGAATATGCAATTTCGTTGAGTAAAAATAAAACGAATTCCTTAATCTTATATGTACGTTATAAAATACTGACCAATTACTTTAATGAATACCAAATACGGAGTTACGAAAGAGAGGAGATAGATAGACAGAGAAAGAGAGAGAAAGAATAAAAGAAAATGGAAATAATAAAATGAGAAAAAAAGAGAGAATAGAGAATGGATAGAATAAAAAATCGAAAAATAGAAATAAGGACAAAATTAAAGAAAGATGGAAGTGAAAGAGAAAACAAAAATGAAAGGAAAGAAAGGAAAAAAAGAAAAAGAAAGAAAAAAAAAGAAAACACGAAAACCTAAAAAAAAGTCGAGAAAATACAAAAATCGACAAAGAAGTAAAGGAAGAAAAAAGTGAGAAAACAAAAAAGAAAAAAAACAAAAAGACGAGAATACACATACAAAAAACAACAAAGAACAAAAACAACAACAACAACAAAAACGAGAAAACTCACACATTAAAACGACAAGAAAACAAAAAAAAAATAAATAAATAAAAGGAAAAAAGAAAGGAAAAAAACAAGAAAACACACACACACACACACACACACACACACACACACACACACACACACACACACACACACACACACACACACACACGCACACACACACACAACGAAATAAGCAAAAGTAAAAGTTCTCTCCGAGCACCAACCTGCAGTGGAAGCTCCCTCTCTCGGTGCACTCTGGATGTAGCTGGAGTCCGTAATACGAATTTCGGAAGAAATGTTGTACACGTGGAGGATCGTGGCTATGCAGCGCAGGACCAGGACGCCATTACGAAAGTGCTCCCGACGAAGGCACATCTGCAGGCCCGACCACGAGGACTCACGCCCTTCGCTGTCTCTGTCCCTCGGGTACACCACCACGGTCTCACGTAGCGCCTGGGGGGAGGAAGGAGGAGGGAGGGGGGATGAGAGGGGGTGTGGATTGGGGGGGTCGAGTTTGGGAGGGAGTGGGAGGGGGAGGGGTGGTAGTGGTAGAGTGGAGGGTCTTTGTTTGTTTGTTTGTTTATGTGTTATCTTCTTTTGTCTGTCACTTTTGTTTGTTTGTCTGTAGCTTCTCTGTTTATTCGTTACTATCTGTCTGTCTGTCTGTCTGTCTGTCTGTCTGCCTGCCTGTCTGTTTATCTGCCTGCCTGCCTGCCTGCCTGCCTGCCTGCCTGCCTACCTGCCTGCCTGCCTGTCTGTCTGTCTGTCCGTCCGTCCGTCCGTCTGCCTGCCTGTCTTGTTTATGTGTTATCCTCTTTTGTCTGTCACTTTTGTTTGTTTGTCTGTAGCTTCTCTGTTTATTCGTTACCATCGGTCTGTCTGTCTGCTTGTCTGTCTGTCTATCTGCCTGCCTGCCTGCCTGTCCGTCCGTCCGTCCGTCCGTCCGTCCGTCTGCCTGCCTGCCTGTCTGTCTGTCTGACGTTTTATCTTCCTGTCTATTTCCCTCTCATTCTTCATCGCCCTCCCTCTCTTTTTGTGTGACAAATGGGTTCAGATCATGGCATACTAAACGACAGAAATAAAAAAAAGATTGAAAAAAATAGAAATAAAGTTCAGATCATTGTATTTCAAAATTAGAGAAGAAAAAAACTTCAACAAATAACATCCACCGTCTAACCCTAAGCGAAAATTTGCAATGCTCAGCTGCCGATATATTGCATGTCTTGCAAGGCGCTCAATGCATGCAGGAGACAAACACCACAGTCTCTCATTACCAGTATGACGTCATGATGCATAACTATCATCAAGAGTTGCAGACTACCTGTGTTGCATCATTAATAACGACTTGTCTGAGCTGATCACGTGACCTGGTGTGGTCGTGCGTGATTTTACATCCGGGAATCAAGGTGTGTGTGTGTGTGTGTGTGTGTGTGTGTGTGTGTGTGTGTGTGTGTGTGTGTGTGTGTGTGTGTGTGTGTGTGTATTTATTTGTGTATCTGTCGGTTAGCTATTCTATCTGCCTGTCTGTTGCTTATATACATACATGTACGTACATACACTTACATATACACACACTTAGACTTAAACACTCACTCACACACACGCCCCCCCCCCCCCACACACACACACACTATCCCTCCCCCCGCACACACACTCCACACACACACACACAGACACTATCCCTCCCCCCACTCACTCCCCCCCCCCCCCACACGCACAGGCAAGTAACGAATGCAAGATTAACAATACGATAATTTGACCTTGAGAATTTCTTGTTATTATTAATCTCAATCATTCTCACTATTATCTTTACCATCATCATTAGTATTATGTCATCATTATCACTATCACCTTTATTCTCATCATCACTATCATATCATTATCATCTTTATCACTATCCTTTTTATCATCACTATCATATCATTATCATGATTACCACTATTGCTTTTATCATCATCCTCACCATCACCTTTATCATCATAATCACTATCAAATCATTATCATCATTATCACTATCACGTTTATCATCATTCTCATTATCACCTTTATCATCATCATCACTATCATATCATTATCATCATTATCACTATCACTTTTATCCTCATAATCACTATCAAACCATTATCATCATTATCACTATCACGTTTATCATCTTTCTCATTATCACCTTTATCATCATCACCCTCACTATCACCTTTATCATCATCACCCTCACTATCACCTTTATCACCATCATCACTATCACCCTTATCATCACCCTCACTATCACCTTTATCACCATCATCACTATCACCCTTATCATCACCCTCACTATCATATCACCATTAAATTCCATAATCTTTTCCATGTCCTGCCTTCTGCTTCCTCTTGAAATGTCTCCCCGAGTGTAATTACGTAGCATGAAATATGTAAATGCATTTCTCTGTTTTTTTTTAATTTTTTTTTATTTTTTTTCATTTTTTTTCATTTTCATTTTCTTTTTATTTCTATTTTTTTTTTCGTTATTCATTTTCTTGCTTTCGACTCCAAATTAAAGTCTTTTCCTTGTAATTAGTGACAAGAACTTGGCTTCCTCGTCGGCGGGGGAAGTGTTGGGAAGGGAAGGGGGGAGGGGAGGGGTAGAGGAGGGGGAGGGGGTGAAGGGAGGGGAGGGAGTGAAGAGAGAGGAGGGGGAAGGGGTGAAGGGAGGGGAAGGGGGGGAGGGGGTGAAGAGAGAGGAGGGGAAAGGGGAGGGGGGTGAAGGGAGGGGAGGGGGAGGGGGAGGGAAAAGGGGGAGGGGAGGGTGTGAAGGGGAGGGAAAAGAGGGAGGGGAGGGCGAGGGGGTGATGGGGAGGGGAGGCGGTGAAGGGGATGGGGGAGGGGTCAGAAGGGGAGGGGAAGGGAGTGAACGGGAGAAGGGAGAAAGGGAGCGGAAAGGAGAATGGAGTGAAGGGGAGGAAGGAAAGGAGAGAAGGCAGGGAGGGAGGGAGGGAGGAAAGGGGGGTGGGGGGAAGGAAGGGGGAGGGATGTGGCGGTTATCTTTCGCCTATCTTACCGTCTTATCTTTGCTTTCATAATTATTTTGATAATTGTCTACTCTTCCTGTTCACAGTTTGTGTTTATTATTATTATTATTATTACTATGACCATTATTATTATTATTATTATTATTATTATTATTATTATTATTATCGTTATTATTATTATTATTATTATTATTATTATTATTGTTGTTGTTGTTGTTATTCTTATTATTATCATTTTGTTTTGATTTCTTTCTTTTTTTACTGTTTTCTTCGTTTTCGTCTTTTTTTTCTGCATTCATATGCGTACATACTTACATACATACAAGCAGACATAAATACTTACATACACACATAGTTAACATATACATGCATACGTACATATTTAACATATATATGCATACATACAAACATACATAAATAAACGCTTGCAGGCATAAATACATATAATACATATCTAACATACGCAAATACATACATACATACATGCATACGTACATACAAACATACATACATATACACAGGCGCGCATATATTTATTTATTTTCTTTTTTCTTTCTTTCGATCTTTCCTACTCTTAAGTTAATTTCTTCTTCGTCTTTTCTCTTTTTCGTGTATTCTTTGTATTTTTCTTTCTTATTCCTTGTATCTCTTTTTGGACACAAAAAGATATAGAAGATACTGTCTCTGTCTCTGTCTGTCTGTCCGTCTCACTCTCTCTCTCTCTCTCTCTCTCTCTCTCTCTCTCTCTCTCTCTCTCTTTCTCTCACTCTCTCTCTCTCTCTCTCAATCTCTCTCTCCCTCTCTCTCTCTCAATCTCTCTCTCTCTCTCTCTCTCTCTCTTTCTCCCTCTCTCTCTCACTCTCTCTCTCTCTCTCCCTTTCTCTCCCTCTCCCTCTCCCTCTCCCACCCCCTTTCTCCCTCCCCCTCTCTCCCCCTCTCCCCCTCTCCCCCTCTCCCTCTCTCTCTCTCCTTCTCTCTCTTTCTCTCTCTCTTTCTTATCTTTTTTTTCACGCCTTCCTTCACGGCACCGAGCTTAAGAAACCTAAAAAACGCCAAACACGTTCTTGCCCTTTCTCCTTCTTCTTATATATAGAAAAAAGAAAATAGAGAAAGAGGAGGAGGGAAAAACGAGAGAAAAAAAATGCGACAAAATACAACTACATGGAAACACTTCCTGGTTGTAAGAAAAGTTAAAGAAAGGAAGGAGGGAGGAAGGAGGTGGAAAGAGGAAGATGGGAAGAGGAAGATGGGAGGAGGAAAATGGAGCTAGGAGGAGGAAGGAGAATTGAAAGAGGGAGGAGGAGGAAGGAAAAATGGAAGGAGGGGGAGGAAGGAAGGAGGCAGGAGGAAAGTAAAGCTATGAGGAGGAAAAAGGAAAAAGATAAGGAAGGAGGAGGAAGAAGGAGAAAAAGGGTAGGAGAGAAGACGAAGGAGAAAAAAAGGCAAAAGGGAAAAAAGGAAGGAGAACGAAAAACAAAGAAGGAAGGAAAAAAGAAGAGAAAAAAAACAAAGCGAAAATGAAGAAAAAAAAAACAAAAACGAAAGGGGGAATAAAGAAAACCGAAAAAAGGGAAGGAACAAAAATCAAGGAACAAGAAAAAAAAGAAAAGGAGACAAGGAGACAACAACAACAACAACAACAACGACACAACTTCAAGAACGTAGAATTCCTTAGACACAAATTAATAAAATCCTTAAACCTTACCTATAAAATTTCTACAAAAAAAAAACGAAAAAAAGCACCAAAGACTCAAAAAAAAAAAAAAAAAAAAAAAAAAAAATCTCGCTACTACGAACATCTTTTATAAATGCAAATATTTTGATTTTTTTTTATACCTTAACAATAATGTTATTTTTTAATCGACGGCTTCTACGACCGAAGACTTGAGGAATTTACAAAAGGGATTAGTGAAATAGTTTTGAAATTGATAAAAAAGTGAGTCTTGTGTGTGATCTGATCTGAAAAAAATGAGTTAAAGTGAAGAATTTTGAAATAGTATTAGATAAAGAAAAAACTAAGATGCGTCGTGATCGAAAGTAAATATGGCGAATAAGAATAAGAAGGGAAAATGAAAATGAAAATAAAAATGATGGAAATGGGAATGGGATTAAGAATGAGAAGAAAAAATGAAAATGAAAAAGAGAATTAGAGGGAGCAGGAAAAAATGAAAATGAATATGAAAATGTTGAGAATAAAAATGAAAATGAGAATGAGAATGGGAATGGGAATGGGAATGAGAATAAGTATGAGAATGAAAAATGTAAATGAATATGAAACTGAGAATGGGAATGAGAATGAAAATGAAAAATGAAAATGAAAATGAAAATGGCAATGAAAATCAAAACGAGAATGAAAAAAATGAAAATGAAAAACAAGAATCAGAACGAGCATGAAACATGAAAACGAAAAAAACAACAACAAAACAACAAAAACAAACAAACAACAACAACAAGACAAGACAACCCGAAGGTCAACCTCCACTGACCTTATGACCGTTAATGACCCAGGAGAGGTTGGTGGGCGGGTACGAGAAGGACGAGGAGCAGTTCAGAAGCAGCAGTTCTCCGATGGTGTACGAGTCGCGGGCGCCGCTGATGTCGGGGCCTCGGGGGGGAGGGTCTGTGGGGAGAGGGGGAGGGGGGGCGAGTAGTGGTGGGGAGATGTGTCTGGCTGTTTGCTTGGCTGCGCGTGAAGAAGTGGATGGGCAAATAGATGGATCGATAGATAGGTGAATAGGTATATGTATATGTATGTATATGTATGTTTATATATATATAAACACACACACACACACACACACACACACACACACACACACACACACACACACATATATATATATATTTATATATATATATATAGATATATATATATTTACATATATATATATATATACATATATATATATATATATATATATATATATATATATATATATATATATATATATATATGTATATATATATATATATATATATATATATATATATATATATATATATATATATATATATATATATATATATATGTATATATATATATGTAAATATATATACATATATATATATATATATATATATATATATATATATATATATATATATATATATATATATATATATATATATATATCATCATCCTTATGTATATATACATACATGTATATGCATGTTTATATAATATACATTCATGAAAACAAACCTAAAAAAAACATAGTTTTGATCCACGTGGGCAATATTTCACCCTTCCTCGATGTCGCCTTAATCACTTGAAATGAATCCTTAAGGACCCCCCCCCCCCCTCCACGATACCCTTACCCCCTTCCCCATCCCCCACCCCCACCCCCACTCGCCTCCAGCACACACACACACACAGCACACACACACACACACACAGAGCGTCGACATACATACATACATACATGCATACATACATACATGCAGACAAGGTGCCGATTATTGTATTAAATCTGATGAATTCTGTGGCTCCCACGAGATGCCAATCACACTTAAAAAAAAAATTAAAAGCCTCATTTCTTTGTATTTTTTTTTTTTTTTTTTTTATTAAGCAATCTCTCAGCTGACTGATTCTGACAAAAGTGGGTGTTTGACTTTAATTTTTCCTTGTTGGAGTGTTGTTATTTATCAGTGTTATCAATTTTGTTTTTATTCTTGTTACCTTTATCATAACGATGACGATTATCAAAATTCTTGTAATCATTATTATCATGATAATGATAATAATAATAATTATTATCATGATCATCATTATTAACGTCATTTATTTATCATCATTATCATTACTATCATTATCGTTCTTGTTATTATTAACATCTTTATTATTGCTATTATTATCACAGTTATTATTTTTGTTATCATCATTAGTTTTATTGTAATTACTATCATTGTTATCATTATTATTATTACTATTGTTATCATTATTATTATTACTTTTTTCCCCAAATCTTTCATTATTTCCCTAAAACAGATAAAAAATCTTTTACTTCACCCGTACTGTAGACTTGATAGACATTATCAAAGACTTTTCCCTTCCATTATACGATACATTTTGATAAATACCTTTTAATTAATAAATAAACGATATTAGCTGAGGTTCAGACAAAAAAAATGCATTCTGCGTTTTAAATTACGAATTATACATACTTGTAATTCCAAAATGATCATCTCATTTATAACAGTACTATTTTTAGAACGCAGATGACTCAAAATAAAATGACCATACTATCTATTTATCTATCTAAGTATTTTTTTTTTCAAATGTTACCGCTAAAAGTCCACAAGGCATAGTATTGAGTAATTTGATCAAGTAAGTAATTTAGTTTTAGGGAAAGGTGAGAGAAAGCTAGGTCTTTGATCGAAATCTACGGGTGCTAACTACATTTTCAAATAGTTATGTGTGTGTGTGTGTGTGTGTGTGTGTGTGTGTGTGTGTGTGCGTGTGCGTGTGTGTGTGTATCACACACCCACATATACGTATATACATATACACGTGTATATGTGTATGTAAAAAGAATATCTCTATGTATATATATATCTATTTGTTTATTTATACACCCCTCACCCCCTACAGGAAACCCCCTCTCTCTTTCTTTTTCTTATTCTCTCTCTCTCTCTCTCTCTCTCTCTCTCTCTCTCTCTCTCTCTCTCTCTCTCTCTCTCTCCCTCTCTCTCTCTCTCTCTCCCTCTTCCTCCCTCCTCCCCCCCCTCTCTCTCCCCCTCCCCCCTCTCCCTCCTCCCCCCCTCTCTCTCCCTCTCCCTCCTCCTCCCCCCTCCCCTCCTCTCTCTCTCTCTCCACGCACCCAAACTCCCCCAAACTCACCTACAACCGTGATGTTAGCTGCCATCGAGTCCTTCTCAAAGCTCGGTTGATCTGCAACAACCTCGCAACGCATCTTGCCGGAGGCGCGGTGGTCTACGTGAGAGAGAATGACTTCGTGTAGCGTCGATAT